CTACTACTACTACTACTGCTACTGCTACTACTACTACTACTACTACTACTACTACTACTACTACTACTACTACTGCTACTACTACTACTACTACCACTACTACCACCACTACTACTACTATTATTACTACTACTACGACTACTACTACTATTACTACTACTACTATTACTACGACTACGACTACGACTACTACTACTACTACGACTACTATTTCCACGTTTACGACTCCTACTATTACCACTACTACTACAGTTATTGCTACCACTACTACGATTACTACTGCTACTACGACTACTATTACTATTACTTTCACTACCACTACCACTAACACTACTAAATCTACTACTAGTACTACTGCTACTACTACTATTGCTACTACTACTACTACTACTACTACTACTACTACTAATACTACTACTACTACTACTACTATTACTACTACTACTGCTACTGCTACTGCTACTACTACGACTACTACTACGACTACTATTACTACACTACTACTACTACTACGATTAAGACTACTACTACTACTTCAACAACAACTACTACTACTACTACTACTACTACTACTACTGCTACCACTACTACTACTCCATCAGGAGAGCGCGTATCGGGAGGGGGATGTTGACCAGTGGGAGGAGCAGGAGGAACTGGAGCAGGAGGAGGGGGAGGAGGCGGATGGAAGAGGACAACGAGGAGCGGGAGGACGAGGCCTTCGGCGGCTCTCGGAGTCTCGGTCTCCCCTAGGATCACACTCGGTTATGAGAGGTTGATCCGGTAAGTGCTCACAGGCCGGTTCGTTCAGTCGTCAACGGGGAGGGGGTTCGAGGTGGAACGTTCCCGCTGTTATTCATCGCTCCAGGGGGCCAATTTCAATCGCCCCCCCGTCATTTGTCCCAAGTTGGGGGTCTGCTTGCGCGCGATTTGTCAGGTGTCGCCTGTCCAACGCGAGTATCGTTACTACCACTGTACTACAACCGCAATGCCATTACGTTACTAGGATACGACTACTACTACAGTGTTTCCACAGTGCGACAGTACTAGCGTGCTACTACAAATCTAGAGTTTTACAATATTAGGGTACTACTGTACTGTTTCTACAGCCGTCACTACAGTAGTGATTGTAATGTACTACTATTACTATTAGTAGTAGTACGACTACTACTACTACTACTACTACTACTACTACTACTACTACTACTACTACTACTACTACTACTACGACTACTATTACTATCGCTACTATTCTCACCATTCTTACGATTACTACGACTACTACTAGTACTACGAGTACGACTACTACTACTATTACTATTACTACTACTATTACTACCACTATTACTTCTACTACTATGGCTACTACTACTACTACTACTACTACTACTACTACTACTACTACTACTACTACTACTACTACGACTTCTACGACTTCTACTACTACTACCACTACTACCACTACTGGACTAGAGTACTTTAGTACGACTACAGTGCGATCGCTATACTACAAGAACTACAGCAATCTAGCGCTAGTGCTGCAGCACCAGTACGATTACATCGCGACGGTATCAGGTCACGATTGCCGTACTTGAGTATCACAGTCTGAGAGTACCCATACCCCAGCCAGTATTCGAGTACTATCAGTACTAGAGCCAGTCAATACTAAACTACTAGAGTAACTACCATGCTACCCCAGCGGGTATTTGAGTACCATACGATTGCTACGACTACTACTACCATTACTACTACTACTACTACTACTACTACTACTACTACTACTACTACTACTACTACTACTACTATTACTACTAGTACTACTACTACTACTACTACTACTACTACTACTACTACTACTACTACTACTACTTACTACTGCTACTACTACTACTATACTACTACTACTACTACTACTACTACTACTACTACTACTACTACTACTACTACTACTACTACTACTACTACTACTACTACTACTACTACTACTACTACTACTACTACTACTACTACTACTACTACTACTACTACTACTACTACTACTACTACTACTACTACTACTACCTACCTACCTACCTACAACTACAACAACAACTACTACTACTACTACTACTACTACTACTACTACTACCACTATTGCTACTACTACAGTACTACAGTACCCACCATACTAGAGCACTACCACTACAGTCATACGTAGAGTACTATTACGGAACATTGGGCTCGTACATATCAGTATTGCGTCATTGTTTATACATGTTGTAGTAGTGTCAGTGCACAGTACTATTGCACTAGTGTTAGTACACAGTACTACTACAGTTGCCCGTGAAATGGGGTGTAATGTTTAAAGGTTTGTTGTTATTGCTCGTGAGACCCCCCCTCGCGCGGCGCCGTCGCAGTCGTTATCTATCGCTCCGGGGGGGGGGACTTGGTCTCGGTTTTTTCTTTCTTCACGGCTGGGGTCGAGTGTTTCGCGAGTTAGTTTTGTTATTCATGCCTCCCGAGA